CATCGTAGACGCGCGAGCCTTTCGAGGACGGTTAGAAGGAGACGAAGCTATTCACTTTTAGCATTTTCACTGTAGTGTAAGATACAGGATTGACCCCGAGGTTTGCGGACTTTTGTCGAGCGTTCATATCATCTTCTCCCTCGTTGGTTTCATTGCAGTTGTAATTTTTACGAGAAGAGATTGTAAGTTCCTCCCTATCCAGGTTTTATAGTACACAGCCCAAATTAATCTGTTTAGACCTCGTCGTATTTTACAGAAGCGATACATTAAAGTGTTTATCGCGAGCATCGGTTCATTAAGATCCTCTGGATACTTGAAAATGCCCCGCCACAAACGCGTCGTCGAAACGAGTCGAAATGACCTACTTTCCCAATTACTTCATTGTAAACTCTGAACCGCTCCGGGTGGAGTGGGACTAAATGTCTTTCGTGTCGATTAAATTAACTCTAATCCGATTGAACGCCATCAGCGCTCGCATCACTGCGTGTCACCGATCATTAACAGCGCGTTAGCAGCCGGATTTCTTTCCGATGTGTCCCGCAATTCGTCAATTTTCATTCAGCTCTCCTAAGACTCTTGACTGTGCGCGTCAAGAAATATTTCTCTTTTCAAACGAAAATGGGCAAGTTGCACTCGAAGTAATTTATTGATTCAACGGCACGTGGTTTCTCCATTTGTTTCTCCTCCCGACTAAAAAAATAGACCAGATCGAACGTAACGTGGAAAACCGTTCCTACTTTCACGATTGACAGAAGCTATAAATGAATAAAATAAATTATAAGAAAGAGTATTATTGTCGCCAGTAGTTGATTAACAATAGAAAAAATTATTTGACGACTTTAAACCGGCCAAGTGGTTTATTTAATAACTCATTCCGACGTTTCGGCCATCCAGATTGTGATCCTTTTCAAGGAAAAAAATACATAAGAATAGTAAAGAATTATTTAACGTCAGTACATGATTAACCAAGGGTTTGAACCTGGACTTTCTACACTCTAGGCGGGCCCGCTTGGCTGAGGTAATATTTTTCGCGATAAATTTCTCTAATTAAAATTAAAAATTTAAAATCGAATTTTTTTGTCGTTCAACAATTTTTCTACATTTGAAATAGTATATGTTGATTAGTCAAAATTATGAAAAAAGTTGTCATCCGTCTCTGGATATCGGTCGGAGTAAACAACGTTCGAAGACACGTATCTATCCGACACAACAGCCCACAGTAGGACTACTTGTAAAATAAATTGTCATATTTTCGCGGATTAAAGAATGTGGGACAAGTAATCTACAGGCAGTGTGCAAAATAAAATATAATGGTAAAAAAATAAGGGCAGGAAATGGTTAGACGACGTGTAACGCGACTGAGAAGTAGACGTTATCATGGCTCTGAAATTAGTCGTGGGTCAGCGTGAGGGAGATACGGTTGCGGAGGAATCACATTTCTAAGGCCCGTGAGAAACCAGTTTTTACGAGTAGCAGGCCCCCCCGATTTGATGTCCTCTCCCTTGTCTGTGTGCCAGGTGCAGGAGCGTCTTGAAGACCCGCCAGTGCCCGCGGAGCCGGTATGCTCGTCCGTCTGTGACATCGTCGACGAGGTGTGCCACGCGTACCGGGACTCCAGGGACTCGCACGCCAGGGAGCTGGTGAACCTTCTCGGCAACGCGCATCTGCGAGCGCTCCTGGAGACGCACGACGCGGTCGTGGAACGCAGGGAAACGCCTTCCACATCGTTCGAGCCGCGCGCGTTGACGATGCCGGCGAGCAAGAGGGAGGAGATGCCTCCTATCAGGGTGGTCGGCCTTCGGAGGCAACCGGATGAACCCCTGGTAAGTGGCTGATATAGGAAGAAACGTGCGGCAAGATCAGGAAGATTGTACTATTATTTATTATTTGACGAGAAGGATGGCCCGTTCAATTTTAGCTCCGGTGTGTCCGTTTAAAAGTTGCTTTCCATCCTTTCCTAAAACAACGCATGTGCTCCCGTGGTGCCATGGCACCATGAAATATCACCGTCAGGAAACACGTCTTCCACTTTTTAAAAGAACATATAAATTATTTTCGCGCATCCAGCAAAGTCGCGGCTGAGTAGCAATGAGACAGTTTGACTGGTGTCGTCGCTTTTAAATCCACGGCACCACCAAAGAAAAGAGTCTACGCACGCCTATACAACGACGAATGTTCCTTTCCTTCTTTCGGCCCCTGAGAACAACGTAAATACTCAATGAGAAAAGTATTTGATACCGCGATACGGGGGGAAACACTAAATTTAGGATTGTCTAAAGCGAGATTGAAAAGTTTATCGCGTGAGAAGCTCCCCACCCGCGAATTAGCCCGCCAGATTCGCTCGAAGAAAAGACGAAGCTGCCACTTGCAGTTCGTAAATAAGTACGAACGTTTATTTCTCCGGCATGCCACGTGTTTCGGCGATTTTCTGGTACTGCGCGCTTCTTTAAGATACCACAACGCGCCGAAATATGGCCAGCGATTTTCAACGTCGCCGCTTAAGGCTTTGTTCGACCGACATTGGAAAGTGCTGCGGTGTCGCGAGCGAAATAAATTTTATTTAATTGGACTTAACTAAAGGGAGAGACAACTCGTGCTACTTTCACGTCCGTTATCTTTTCAGGGTCTGACTGTGCAGGTAGATGAATCTGGGAATATGATTATCGCCAGGATCCTCGGTGGCGGCACGGCCGCTCGTCAAGAGCTTTTGAAAACAGGCGAGGTGATACTCGAAGTCAACGGCAAGAGGGTTCGCAATCCCGAGGAGCTCCAGCAGGCGATACAGGAGGCCAAGGAGAATCTATCCCTGAAACTGGCTCCAGGTATCGCTACGGACGCGAACCGACCTCTCAAGTCCACGGTGAGTGCCACGGGCTGTTTTTCCACCTCGATGCCTCTGCTAACAGCCACGTTCTCATTCTCCTTTCTTACGGCGCTCGTTCGGGCGCGGAGAACACGTCGTCGGCGTCGTAATCGCAGAGGAAATTCATAACGATCTCTCGTAGACCCGCCTTTGATTTGATTTGATCGTTGCAGTGCTACATGAGGGCTCTCTTCGATTACGATCCCTCGGAGGACACGATTTTGCCCTGCCGGGAGATCGGTCTGCCGTTCCAGAAGGGCGACATCCTCCAGATCGTCGACCAGGTCGATCCGAACTGGTGGCAGGCGCGAAGAGTGGAGGGCGAGAGTCTCGGATCGCCCGGGCTGGTACCATCGCTGGAGTTGGAAGAGCGCAGAAAGGCGTTTGTGCCGCCCGAAGCCGATTTCGTTCACAAGATCAGCATCTGCGGCACAAGGATATCCAAGAAGAAGAAGAGAAAGATGTACCAGTCCAAGTCGAACGGCGAGTTCGACGGCGCCGAGTTGCTTCTCTACGAGGAGGTCGCTCGGATGCCGCCGTTTCGACGCAAAACCTTGGCCCTGGTCGGCCCACGCGGCGTAGGCCGGCGAACCCTGAAGAACAGGCTGATCAACAGCGATCCCGACAAGTTTGGCACTATCGTACCCTGTAAGAAACACTCGATTCACCTCTCGTCAATTGACGTGGCCTGATTGTTGTACTGAACGAGTGTGACTTTCGCAGATACATCGAGGCCGCCTAGAGTCCTCGAAGAGGACGGCAAGAGTTACTGGTTCACTGATCGCGAGTCCATGGAGACCGACATTAAGGAGCACAGGTTCCTGGAGCATGGGGAACACGGTGGGCATTTGTACGGGACGAAACTGGACTCTGTGCGGGAACTGATAAGGGCCGGCAAGATGTGCGTGCTAGACTGCAGCCCGGCTGCGCTTAAGATCCTCCACAACAGCACCGAGTTCATGCCCTACGTCATATTCATCGCCGCGCCCGGGATGGAGCAGCTCAAGTCTTTGTACGATCTCGGGAGATCGACCGGTGCCAGCAATCGAAATCTAACGGTATTCTTATCTAAAGCTTGCGCCTATACTCTCATAAAAATCGTCTTCCCCTCATTCTTCTGTTAAATTTCTACGTCCTCTTTAGAGCTCCTCTTTATCGACTTCGTGTCATGCTAGCAACCTATATATGCGACAACCCGTTTATTTCGTCGTTTATTTCACTTTTTATTCTATCACTTTAGTTAATTCGTTGTATAAATTTGATGTTGGCTTCGCTAGTTCGACCGCCAGAGTTCCATCAGGTACAGTTCGAGAAGAGCCAGGACACTGGAGTCCCTCGCATCTTTATACGAGGTTTGTATCGCATGACTCGTATTATTTTATTGTATTACTATGCAGCACGTACTTGCAGTATCCATTTTGCGCAAGACCATTATTTTAATAACGCACAATATTTTCACATTTTGGCTCATAGAATAGAACCCTTCAATGCTTTAGTCACAGGAGCCACGAAAATGTCGACTTTCTCTTGGCAAGTTCGCGTCCTTACATTGATGTAATCAAATTTAAGCATGCTTATGACCGTAATCAAGGGAACCAAGCTAGGTTCGCGATTTCGTGTAAAGTGCATTTCACGCCGCTTTTATATCGTAAACTGCTCATCGTACAAAGCGTTGTCTTAGAAAAAGAATATTTTGCGTAATAAGGCATTGAAAGCGAGAGATTAATTGACGATCCGTCCGACAGGAGGACGATCTGAGATCCACGTTGGAGGAATCCGCGGCCCTGCAGAGAGCCTACGAGAAGTACATTGACTTGGTGATCGTGAACGAGGACTTTGACAATACGTTCAGGCAGGTGATCGCAGCTTTGGATGCCTTAGCCACGGAGCATCAGTGGGTGCCGGTCAATTGGATTTACTAATCCATTCCTGAGGCGCAGCGTATCGGGGGAGCTGCGAGTAGTTTTACGCGCGAATGAGAGAAAGGATTTTTTATTACTGCCTACTGTCACTTAACGAAAAACCGCGAGATTACGGGAAAGTGGTATTCAGAAACAGAAACTTCGTTTGTCGCGCGGCCAAGAAAGCGCGAGGCACGTGTAATCAGAGTACAAAGAAATGCTACGAATATCTCACGCCGCGTGGAGCGACATACGAACATTGTCGCGTGATCAAGAATCTCATTTTTGTCCCAAGTAGAACAAGTTAATCACGAAAACGTCAATGTGGCATTAAAATGATGAATTTTACGTCATAAAATGATCGGCATCAAGATTTACTTTGCAATGACTGATTTATGACATGCTGTTTTACGATATTCGTGATGTGTATAATATATTATTACAGATTACATTATCAGTCATATATTGTTTATCTTATACTACTTCAATTTATATTGTTACGTCCGGCTCCGCCGTCCGCACAACACCTCGCACACTCGCGTACTCGCGTACTCGCGTGCGCGCTCGCGTAATTGAAATAGAGCCGTGTGAGGAAGGAAAAAGGAGATCTTTATTACACAGAAAGAACGGCCCTCGAACGTCTGCACCAGGCAGGGGCCAAACTCTGAATTCGTTTACAAACGTGTTAACAACAAAACACAACCGTAACCAGGCAACTTGAACATCATAGAGGGAATTCGCCAAATCGCCAGATACTGGGCGTCCAATATTAGCGGGCGTAACAATATTTAATGTGCAATATTTAATTAACTTTACTTTGTAAAACAAGATCATTTTTACAACATTTTGATGCCTTGATGATGTCACAAATAGGTGCTCTCGGTGGGCTATTTTGACGTCACCATAATGCATAAAAAATGACGTCATCTTGATGTTTTCATGACTAATATGTTCTACTTGGGGTCGTTCATCATTAAACGCATCGTTTACGTTAGTTTGTTATAGATTTACAAACGACCCGTTCTGCGCACGGAATCTCCTCCAGTCTTGTTTCGCGCATTACTACGTGAAAATCAGGGTTGGGAAGTAGCTTGTTACGTGTAACGAAGTTACAGTTACTTCTTCTGGTAACTCTAACTTAACTTCGTTACTTTCTCTCCATCTCTAACTGTAACTTAGCTCCGTTACATTTTTTTTCGATAACTAGTGACTATCCAGGTAGCCAAATCTGTCGGAACAGATTTCGTCAAATGGCCACTACAACATTTTGAAGGCAGAAAGACTGCAGATTGCATCCAGGAACTGATACATTCGATATGTTGCCAGTATGTCAGCAGAAATACAATAAAATCTACTAACATAACTGGACCTGCTCGGTTTCTGCCGACAAGCTGTTGACAGTGTATGCTTTACAGACTCCATTACCAAAACAAGAGCCAAAGGCGGACACACATGGCTATGGCTTTGATGTGGGTTTCTGATAAATCTGCTGCCAGTCTGTTTACATTTTGCTAACTGGGTAATTTAATACTTTATACATTCTTTAAACCTCCACAGATCGTATTAGGCTTTGCATTAGCGCATGAACGCCTTTATCGACACTTTACCATTCAAATGCAGATTTGATATTTTTATTTTCAGTAACTGTAACGCGTTACTTTGCAGAATTGGTAGCTGTAACTAGTTACATTTTTAGGAAAAAAAAACTGTCTGTAGCTATTTTTATAAAGAGACTTTCCGAACCCTGGTGAAAATTATACAGAGAATCGCGAATCTTCTCAATCACTCGTCCTTGATGGATTGGCGATATATAACGATGGGAGAGACTAGTGTGTTCAAAAATATGAAGAGGTGCTTTTTTTACAACGAAGAAAGCCATATCGCGCGTTGCATTTTTTACTGCCAATCTCGACAACGACTGTGGTAGCAAACGGGTCGATTGATGTGTTAGACCGCCGTCCAGTTAATTTTAGAGCGTATATTTTTAATTTAGTTAACGATAATTAATTAATTTAGGTTAACGCGTACGATCCTTTTTACCCATTCGAGCCCGCTGTTCACCTTCCTTCCGCGAATTCCGTTTCGTGTCTCATTTTGCTGCTCGTGCACGCTAAGTAATATTCCTGGCATAGAGTGCCTTAATAACGCCGAAGCCTACAAATTGATGCGAAGACCTACCGCGTCGACACTCGTCTTGCATTCGGGTTTTACGGAGGACAAGACCAACAATGCCTTTTTCTAACGTCCGACGGACAGTCGCACGCACACGCGTACATACACGTACATGTTCCATTCCTTTCAACTTAACATAACTCTTCCGAAAACAGGATCGAGGTATCGTCTAAAATGGGGCGCTTTGTACAGATACACATAACGACTAAAAAATATATATATATATCTGTATGTTACATCGAGACACACACCTGTCCTCAAAGAGCAACGTGGTGCACGATGTGGAATAAAGTTTGTCGAGCATTTGTTGCGAATTAGAATCGTACAACAAATGGATTGTCATTTCAGCATTCCTGCCCTCGCCTCTCTTTCAGCAGCTCTGCAGAAGAACGTTTATCGAATCGCGCTACCAACGATACATGTAAGAGTTTAATATATATATTTTTTATCTTCATCGTGGATCGAAAGCAATGTAGTTTAGGTGTGGGGGGGAAAAAAACCCACGCATTTTATACACGTGTATTGTACTCTATTCTCTCTTAATAGGAACGACGCCGCACAGCTGTATCAGACTTTCCTCGTGTAAAAAATTAAAATAAAAGTCTCAGGGGAAACTAGTCTCTCGCATAAAGAATATTTATTTGGAGGAATACGAAGGATTTACGGCCGAAAGTGCAAATCTCCGCTCGGTTCTTCGCTTGCGAAGTCTAACTCTTGTAGAGTATGAAAAATTCTTTTTGTATGTAAAAAGGGGGGGGATCGGAAATGACGTTGTTTTGAATTCTTAAAAATGCCTTTGGAACGGAAGTGGAGCGGCGAGGGAAAGTTCATTTCATAATTCAAGAGGGAATCCCTGGGATTGTCTGTACTAAGCAATTCCCCGCCAACGAGCGGACATTGCAGAAACAATAAACTGCTTGCGGTCACAGCGATAAACTGTTAAAAATGGAACGCAAAATAGAGGAGGAGGAAGCTCGCGAGACCGCGGCGGTTGGAAATGGCGGCTTCGAGATAACGACGGCCGGTTCCTTTTGCCAGTCGCACTGCTCTCTCTCTCTCTCTTTTTCTCTCGCACCGACGCACAAATATACGTCCGTCTCGTTTGCAGGTGCAGTCCAGGGAGCGGCGTGCAAGAGCGGAGCGGTCCGCGGGCCTACCGGCCGCTCGGCCAATGGTAGCCTGCAGTCGGCCACGTTTCAAGGTGGCAGGGCGGCTTGTCATGACACGTACGTGTCGTGCGGGAAAACGTCGGGCCGCCGTGAGGAGCGATCGCCGCCGGCAGGATGCAGATGCTACGGCAGCTGGACGTGCACCCGAAGGTGCGCGAGGAGGCCGATATCCTCGTGAGGACCTTCAGCGGTGCCATCGGTAAACAGTGTACCGGACGACGACGACGACCGTCCGTCTCGCCGGCGTGAATGAGAACCGCCACGAGGCCGTCGACGAGTCGTTTACGTTCCGCCGCGTTGAATAGCGTTTAAGAGGTGAAGCGACACCGGCGAGCGATTAGCCTCCCAGGCTTCTTTCCCCGTTGAACGCCCTGTCGATTTTGTGATCGCTCCAACGTGGGCAGCGGTGCGCATCCCGTCGAGGTGTTTCCACGCTCTCATTCGCGTCCCGCGGTACTCCGCGGCTTTGTCTCGCTACGCCGTGCCGCTTCGCTCCGGCGTTCGCGATAAGGATCGTTGTTTACAATCTCGGCCGATAGCAAGTGAAGCGCGGCGCTCGACGTGCCGTGCCTCGCTTACGATTGTTAAGAACCGCTCGAACTCACGTTACACCAATGCAAATGACGTAAATGATGCCTTTTACAGTTACAATCATTAGTACAATCATCATGGGCATACTGTTTTTGTCAGAGGTAAACTATTATCTTACACCAACTATGAGCGAGGAATTATTTGTAGATACATCCAGGGGTTCTAAACTGAGAATCAACTTGGATATAATAGTCCCCGCTATATCTTGCGATCGTAAGTACAAACTGTGCCCGCGCGCGGCCCATGGGAAAGGCGGATGTAGCCTCTGTCATTTCAGTATTTTGCAGTTTTGTCGATAGACGCGATGGACACGACGGGCGAGCAGCATTTGCACATAGAGCACAATATTTTTAAAAGACGGCTAGACCTGAACGGTAAACCCATAGAGGATCCACAGAGGACAAGTAAGCGCGGAGTTCCATTCGATATGTGCGGCATTAACTGGAAACGTCATGTAAAACAAATGCTTTATTGCAGATATCACAGACGCGAAGGCCGTCAGTAAAACTACAGAGAAGGTAAACGCAGGATTTCTGTAAATGCCTCTCTAAAGTGTCCGGTTGCAAGATTAAATTGTCTTTTTACAGGCAGTGGAGATCGGTACAACCACAGAGACCTGTGGAGACTGCTATGGAGCGGCCACGGATACTATGAAGTAAGATTCCTTCCCGCTTCTTAAGGCCTGCGGCCACTAGAACTTGGACCAAGTTCCAGCATCGACATAGTATAACTAGTCCACTGCAAGCTTGCAGCTTCTATGAAATAGCTGCACATTTCTCGAAACCAGAGGCTCAATCATGTATCTTTTCCTCAAACGTGAACTCGTGAAAATTAATACTTTTCATTTCATCACAAATACTGAATTCGTTGATGCAATTTTTCGCTTCTCACGAGTTCGCGCTAGAGAAAAAGGATTTGTGATCGAGTCCTAGAACTTGGACAAAGTCCAGCATCGTGGACACGGGCCTTTAAGCAGGTGAAATCTACGTTGAGTGCACTTGTAAACTCGGGTCTTGTCCGCAGATGCTGCAACACCTGCGAGGAGGTGTGGGAGGCCTACAGACGCAAGAAGTGGGCTCCGCCGGATCCGGCAGATGTCAAACAGTGCCAGAACGACAAGTCCATGGAGAAGCTGAAGCACGCCTTCACGCAAGGCTGTCAGATCTACGGTTACATGGAAGTGAACAGAGTCGGCGGTAGTTTTCACATCGCGCCGGGCGCCAGTTTCTCCGTCAATCACGTTCACGGTAAACTCTAACGAGATTCAGGGGCTGGACTCTTGCGTTTGTTCGCAAGAGAAATGTATGCGAATTCTGCTCGTATAGAAAATTTGTAAGTTGGTTATCGCGTGGCTTCCAGCCACTCGGCTTGCAACTTTTTTGTAAGAGTATAATTTGCGCATACGTTTTCTCCCGCAAATGAATTTAAAGCGGCACACGATGCTTTTTTGCTCGCTGGTGGTAGTGTATCAAAGCTGCACTACCGCACAAGTTTTCTCGCATCGGTCTGCCCACACCAATGTTGAATGCGTAGAAGGGACCGACGCGAAACGAAACAAATGACGGAGTGGACCTACTAGTTGTACTGTAGCTGCGTTCGGCATTGCAAATCCGAGGTGTCGGAGTGCTCTTTTGCATTCGAGCAAGCGGGAGAGGAGAATGAGAATAGAAAGGGTGGAAGAGCACTCCGACGTCTCGGATTTGCAATGCCGAGCGCAAGCTTGTGGTAAAAGTGCACGCGAGCAAAAGAGCATCGTGTGCCGCTGGCTTAAGACTCCAGTCCCAGATTTTGAACAATATTCCCTGTATTACGCTCTCACGGACTCGTTTTTTGACGCCGCAGTGCACGACGTTCAACCCTACACCTCGTCCCACTTCAATATGACGCACAAGGTTAGACACCTGAGTTTCGGGCTGAACATCCCGGGGAAGACGAATCCTATGGATGGCATGACCGTAGTCGCCATGGATGGTATGTGCTGTTCTTGCTCCTTAATGCTAGTTTTTTTATTAAAGTCTTGATGACTCGCGCTTACAATTACAAGCAGTCGCAACGAGAAAGATAGGCTGCAAAATACTCCGCAACGTAGCTCCGCGTACACCCTAACATCGTATCCCCGTTCCGATGGCCATGAACGTGCCGAACGTGCCGCCGCCTTGAAGCATCACCTTGCCGACGCTGTTTAACAATTCCCTCCCCCTCAATCCGTACCTGGCGATAAAAAGTTTCGTGATTACGCATGTCCGACTCGTACACTCTCTTCACAAGCTTCAGCTTATTCAGTGGGACGCTCAGTCTATATTTACTATGCCTATGGGTCTGTTCAGAGGGGAAAACCGCTGAGGGCATTGTGGCGTACAGATTTGCGGCATTACTGGGCATTACTAAGCAATTTTGGGGCATTAGGTGGAGCATTAAGCTTGCTGGGGCATTCTAAAGATAAAATAAGATAAAGTAATGCCCACTGGGAATTAGTGGGCATTAGTGTACAAGATCTATGTCACTTGGGAATCACTGATGCCTTCCCACATGAATTTGTGCATACATCAACACATTTATACAATTTGTACATGCGTACGTGGCAGATGTACAGTCGTGGTCAGAGAAGTTGTCCGACGTTTTACACCAAGTTTTCAGAATATTCGTATCAGTGCATAGATATGCGGACATATCATTCACTTTGCTCGATTATTGCATCACTGCACATATCCGTGAGCAAAAGCTATAATCTCTCGCGCGATAGACTGCATTTCCGGAATTTATCATAGAACGTCGGACCACGACTGTATATTTGCGTTCCGTCTGTGCCTAAACGGGGAGGCCATCGGTGATTCCTAGTGCACATGTGGCCTCTCTTATCGTGATGTACCTGAGGGCGGAAAATCCTCCAAAGAGCGCGCCAGAGGCCATTCCCACGCAAAATCCGATCGTGAAGCCCAGTTTCATTCTGTCGAAGCAGGTCGGTCCTTGCTGATAGGCTCCTCCAGGTACCACAGGCATCTTGCAGCCTGCAAAACGGTTGCTTAGTTTGTTATTTTGCAAACTATTATTTTTTTTTAGTCTCTGATCTTAAATCGCGATCTCCACAGAATGGAGACAGGAGCTCGACGTTAGTTTCGCTTGAGCAGCTCTTGAGCTTTTCATCCGTAACAAATGAAAGAATGCTTTAAATTTGTAATAGAATTTGTAAATGATTTTATAGAAATCTTATGACACACGCGTACGAGACTGATTGTGCGCGCACTTACTGCTAAATCGTTGGTTACGTAATCTTGCGGCGCACGCTGTCGATCGGCGGTGATTTTATTCGTACTTTTCAATTTTGGTACTTGATCGCGAGCCCGTGCAAGTCGCCGGAACCTCTCAACGCATCGCACCCGTATCACAATATCGGGAAGGCGCCATGACGGTCTCGCAACGTGAGCGAGAAGACAGCTGCGCCGTCTGCTATTTCCGTTTCGTCTGCGTCGCCATTGGTGGCGGGAGATTTCGATCGCGCGTCGATGAGACATCCGATTTTTTTTTCGGAGAACAATTAACGACACATACTCGTCTGTAGAACAGAACCGGGACTAGACATTTATACTTTGTAGCCAATGAATACGTTTAAAAGAATTTGTGCAAGTTGACAAATTGTACATTGCACAATCGTACGTTGCCGACGAATTTTTCCAAGCGTTTTGATTTGCTTGTATAAAACCGAGTGTTTCTAGACGCGACGAGCACATTGTAGATTAAACGTAAAAGTGAGCGGCTTTGTCTCTTTCCAACTGTCCCCTTAGAAAGAGACAAAGCCGTTCACTTTTAGCATTTTCACTATGTTGTAAAATACAGAATCGACCTCCTTGCAGTACAGTGAAAATGCTAAAAGCGAGCGGCTTTGTCACTTTCTAAGGGGACAGTTGGAAAGAGACGAAGCTACTCACTTTTAGCATTTTCACTATAGTGTAAGATACAGAATTGACCCACCGATACCGATCGATCTAGTACGACGCCGCCGTTTCTCCGTTTTCAGGCGCTATGATGTTTTACCACTACATCAAGATCGTCCCGACGACGTACGTCCGCGCGGACGGCTCGACCCTCCTCACGAATCAGTTCTCCGTAACGCGACACTCGAAGCAAGTGTCCATGCTCACCGGCGAGTCCGGGATGCCGGGCGTATTCTTCAGCTACGAGCTCAGCCCGCTCATGGTGAAGTACACGGAGAAGGCGAACTCGTTCGGGCACTTCGCGACGAACACTTGCGCGATCATCGGCGGCGTCTTCACCGTCGCCGGTCTGATCGACTCGCTGCTCTACCATTCGGTGCGCGCGATACAGAGGAAGATAGAGTTAGGGAAATACAATTGAAGACTTTGGGCCCCGGCGCAGCGTCGATTACCGCCGATCCCGCGGCTCTTGCCCTTGCCCTCTCGCTCGGATACGTTAAAATCTACCGGCAACGTATTGTCCACCGAGAACGCTGACAGTGGATTGGGATTGGCGTTAACCGTTGGTGCGACACAGCCTTAGGCGAATAATTAGGTTACTGTTAACTAACAAAAGGCGTTATTAAAGATACTTGACTTTCTGTTGGCGACTAAATCTTCACGGGGTGCATATTTTCATCGCGCGTTTCGTAAGACTATTCCCATCTCGCGTTTGTATTATGCATATATTAAATGCAGTATGTTCTTCGTGCAATGTAAAAAAACTAAATTACACATAGATTGTTGCGCAGTGGCGTATGCGTCACCTACTTCACTTTTTATTTAAAAGATGATCGTGATTTTAACGAGTGCGATGTAAAAAAACACTTATTTATACGCGATGTACATAAAAACCAGCAAAATATATATGAAATTTGCCTATTGAAGCCTCGTGGAAACGGGAATACCTTGCGACCAAGGATAATTCGCAAGACGAAAGGTGTCCGCTCTAACATTTATTTATATTCGTATTATAATTAAAACGTTTTAAGAAATGCATTGTAAACTTCGATAGACGTCTGCGCGACGCCTCTACAAAAGTCCAAGTCTGTACCGCCGATCAAGGTCAGCGGCGCAACGTACATCGGTTTGGAGGGATCGTACTGCGCCTTGTTCAGTTTCACCAGGAACAAATGCCTCTGCTCGAGCCTCGTTTTTCTGCAGAGCAGAACCTGTGGCTGCTTCACGATAATATCGCGCGGCAGCTGCATCACGTTGCAAGCGTAGTCGAACGAACTCATCAATCTGTCGCGATCTGCAAGTATAATTTTCAAGACGGACATCGGGTAAATTCGCAAGCCTCAAAGTTACGCTGCCGCGTGCGGCTCAACGTACTCTTGATCCATATCCTGGGCAGCTGGAGAAGCAGTCTCTTCACTTGCTCCGGTTCGAGGCCCATCTCCTCCTTGATGCTGAACGTGTTCTCCAGCAAGTGCGTCATCCTGTACGTCACCACCTTGGGCCCCTTGGCCGCCAGCAGTCTCACCTCGTTGCCTTTGAGTTTGAAGTTGGTCTGGAAATAGCCGAGCCTGTTGTCGATATCCTTGGTGGAGTGCGAGAGCCAGTTGGGGTTCCCGCAGACTATGAGCTGTATCATCGGCCTGCTGAACTTGTGCGCCCGCAGGTACCTTATCCTCGTGTGCAGATCGTCCAGGTTCACCTTGAAGATGTAGGGATTCTTGGTGAGGAACGCGCCCAGGCGGTCGGCGGGCACGCCGCAGTCGTGCAGGAACCTTATGTACGGCATCACGTCCCGCTTGTAGTCGAGGTCCAGGATAAACTGCACCATCCCCGGCCGCCCCTCGAACCTGTACAGGCCGACGCCGAGCTTCACCAGCTCCTGGATCGTCTCGGACTTGTTCGCGTACTTGGCGAAGCTGAAGGTCGGAGTGAGAGGCGCGCCGATGTCCGACAGGTCCTCGTTGCACACGTCCAGGGCGCGCGGCGGCTCCACGTCACCATCGTCGAGATTCTCCTCGCAGGCAAACGAAGCCGCGTTTATTCTGGTGTCCAGGTCGAGGTTAGGTCGCGGTTCCAGCGCGCGATCCCCGTTGCTGACCGTCACCCGTCCTGACGTGACACTCTGCTTGAAGGAGGCTCTCTCGACGCTACTCTCGAGTCCCCTCGACGCGCACCGCCTCGGCCCGTCGCCTCTCTGGACGAACCGCGCTAGCAAATTCGCCGCGACCGGTCGCGCCGTCGACGCGAGCGAGCAACAGCGTTGAAACATGTTCGACGCCTGTCACCGCATCAGCGTCGAGCGATTCAATTTAAGGAATTAACCGCCGAATTGTCGAATCTCTCTTTCTCACGTACTTTTGCTAAAGAAACGGCACTGTTATTATATACAATCGGTCGAGAAGAAACCTGGGCGCGGCCATCTTTGAGGTCTACGCGCCTCCAGGATGGAACTACGCAGCCACACTTGCGAATCCTGCCGGTCGATAAGACACGACTCTGGTACCCCTCGATAAATATGTCAATCAAATAGCATTAAGCCCACTTTAGACGATTTATATAATTCATATCGGAATTCAGGATATTTCATTTAAGTGCGACGTGCCACGAAAAAGAACCGAGGTCGGAATACACGCGTGAATAAAACATGTTGAACACGTGTACGTGTTTTATAATATGACACATTATACGTACAAACATACATATGTATATTAAATAATAATATATTAATAAACAGAACGTAGAGGCTCGCAATGATAAAAATCGATATTTAAAAACGAAAGGCAGAAGGGCCAAACAGCTGAGTTTAAAATACATTCGTGTATTTTAAGCACGAAATAACTGGCTCTTTGCCTCTTGTTTTTAAATATTAATAATACTAAACATATAAAGTGTATATTAAAATACACGGCGTAAAAGGTGGAGGCACGTAAGATTTCTACCCTCGGATCGCGTAAGGTGGGCTTTAAATAGTAATTACGATAAGAAATACGAGACGTAATTTTATCATTGAAAAATGCGCGACGAACGTCGATGTCGATAGACGAGTCATTTCTCGCTGGGCCTTGGATTCACTGGCGCGAGCCGACAGGTGCTCGGTGTGGCGACGAGCAAAAAGAGAACTACGCACGAATCATTTTTTTATGATTCGCAGGAAAACGTAGAATGAACGAATCCGTACGCGCGTAGGTATACATTTAATGAGATTTGCAATTTGCTGAGTCAGCGTCGCGCGGAAAGGAGGACGAGGCGGAGGAGGTGGGGCGGCGTGCGTTTGTATGAACAAATACTCTTTATTACCTTAAAACGGTTAGACGCGTGTATTAAATATAAAGGCGGCAAGGTAATTGCGCTTTGATTTACATCAATATACAGTTCAGGGAACGACGCGACACACCCACACCTCCCTCAAGGGGGGAGACATCCCGCGTCTCTTCCTTAAAATCGTGAGGCACGATTTGCGGAAGGCGCAAAATTCGCTCGTGCATGCACGCGCGCACGCACACACACACAAACACGCACACATGCACACACGCATGTACACACAACACGGGCAGGTGTTAGTGTGTACCGGGGTCCTTAACTAAAGCGTTAATATATCTCTTTACAGCGGAGCTGTTACGGTGAAAGTGACGTGTCTGCGCTATTTTATGTAATAAGTACGTTAATTACACATTAAGAACACTTTGATTCTCACGACCAGTATCTGCATATCAAAACAACGTAACTAAACTAGCGGAATGTTCCACGTCGGGCAACCTCGACCAAACTCCAACTATTAATTCGCTCGAGTTAACGTATCAAACGGCATCCGTGCAATTTAACATAATAGGTCATTTATTTTTGTTTATCGCCTTTACTGCGGTAAAGAAATTAGCGACCAAGTGCACAATTAAACTTTTTCGCTGCGTACGAATAGTCGCCAATTAAGTTAGTTATGACGGCAAATGTAGTTATGGCTACAATTTGGTCGAAGTCGGCCTTTAACGGTAAGACAAGGACAAGCCCGTGTGGCTCGCCGCGTGCTCCTCCTGCGTAGTTATTGTTCGTAGCGCGGCCGATTATCTCTCATCAATCCAGTTGCGTTTCGCGCATCAAGTGGTTTAATTCCATAAAATCGTTGTGTAATACGGCACGATGTATGTACGGGAGGTACGCTCCAACGAAGAGTTTGACTAGGCAACTCCGACGCGCGTTATCGTTTCGATTGCATCAATGTGTCGTATTGTTACATATACTTCTCTCACTCAGCCCCCTCCCCTCCCCTTTCCGTCGCGGGTCTCCGAGGATGGAATATCAGATGGCAAATCGGCGTTTCGCGATCGAGATCGGAGCGATTATCGAGTCGACGACGGCTAAGTGTACCATACACAGCGCCCTGTGGAAATCTATCTGTAAGTATAGCTCTAGCGATTCTCTCTTGTCCTTAAATTAAATAGCCCCGCGCACGCTCTCTCTCTCTCTCTCTCTCTCTCTCTCTCTCTCTCCCCCTCTCTCGTTCTACCGCGTGTTATGACTAGATCTCCGTGGTGGATCCTCACTCGTGCTTCGGCCGAGCGGCCGTTCTCTCGTTCGTCGCCTCGCCGTCCGACTGGCTGCGATTTTTGGCCTGCTGCCGCAGCTGGGCCCGCTTCAGACTCGTCATTAATTGACTGGACTGATAGAGCCAACTGGCCTGAAAGGTCAACGACGATGAAACGTCGCGTGGTCGAAAGCGCGTGTTGGTTCGCCGCGGGGATTCGTCCTCAGGTCGCCAAATACTTACCACCATGATCATGCAGTTTATTAGAATGGGCACGGAGAAAACGACGGATATGAAGAGGCCTTGCGAGTCGAAGTACTGCTGTCTAGAGAACACCCTGTGAAAGTTGAGAGGACCGATTATTACAAGATGGATCGAAAAGAAGAAGCCGGATGAGAAAGAACCGCTTTGACACGCCGCGGCAATTTGATACGTACATCCAGTTCGTCGCCGCAACTTCGTTAATGCTTTCCGAGAAATACACCAGGAGCACTGAAAGAGAGAGAAAGAGAGACTCGTGGTAACGTTACGGAAACTGGGCAGAAACCGCGGTAATTATACGGCGGACTCTTACGGAGCACGAGAAACAGGATTATCTGGAAATTCGCGTGGTTCCTCGTCATTAGCGCGGTCATCGTGATGGCAACGTGAAAAGTCAGCAGCGCGGCTAGCCATGGGTCCCTCCAATCGATCTGCAATCAGTCACGCGAAATGTGTACATTAATTATTTAATAGAGAGTTAAATCGTCGGGTCGATTTCGATATAAATCAATAAGAAATAAGATGGCCAATACGGTTCCAAGCAGGATGTAGGTAGCCCAATGGTTCAGTCAGGGTGAGGCAATATTTTTCGCAATGAGAATTCTTTACAATGAACGGGGATTGTATGGAACAAACAGCAAAACATTTAATCGTTTATCGAGTAAGAATTATGTGCATTTACTGACGACAATGGAAACTGCGTTTCAAATCAAAAGCAATTGGCGCGCAGGACGGGTTGAGAAACGGTATAAAAATTTACATATTGTATAGTACAAAAGGTTGGATTGTCTACATCCTGCTCAGACCGTGTTGGCGATCTTATTTCTTATTAATCAATCCTTTAATCCGAGATCAAACGAGACTCCGATATCGAAACGTAAGTCTTTAAGCGAGAAAACTTGGCCGCGCTATCTTATCTCTTACGCTATTTCGCGAAATAAGCATAACACATGTTTCTCTATCGATTTAGCGATTTATTTATTTGCACAAATGGACAGTAATCTCCCCGCGACGAGAAGAGGGCTGGTGGCAGAAAACGATACGTAAACGCTTAAGTCTGCTTAGTCGAGAAAAGAACTTAAGTCGTATACGATAGACATTGACGAGACTCCACTAATTGTAAGACAAGGCAGAAAAAACTTGAGTCGTCAAAGTTCATCGTACACGATTCAAGTTTTTCAGCTTTGCCTTCACGATGCTAGAACTTGAACCAAGTTCTAGCATCGTGGACGCAGCCCATTACGTCTACGACTAAGACAGACTTAAACGTTTACGGAAACATAAGGCAAAACGAAGAAAAACTGGAGTCATATACAATAGACTTCAGTTTCTCTCAGCAGCACAGTCTTAAGCGTTTGCGAATCGTTTCCTGCCATCAGCCGAACGAAGAAACCGCTCGCGAGCGCGGCGCGCGATAAAAGTACATTTAAAAATACCCGGAGAGATTCTGGAGAACCGCGCGCGGCGCATTTTCGCGCGGGACCGCGTATCTCGGCGACGGGACGCCCTTGAAAACGAAATACGTGACGAAAATAGAGCGCCACGCGATGTAATCGGCGATCTTTCGTCGTCATCGTCGTCGTCGTCGCCGCCGCTGCATCGTCCAGAGCGATAACGTGGGGTCGCGGCACCGCCGGACCCGGTAGCTTCGAACTAAGACTCCCGTCTGATTCGCGTCTCGTCGCGCACGCGACGTCACCGATAAGATAAGGGATCCGCGGGCTGCATCTTCGTCCGAAGAGAGAGAAAGAGAGCGAGATCTCGGCTCACGTATACGCCGCGTCAGTGAGCTGTGTTCTATGTTATAATACACTGGAGCGAGTGTTGCCTTATGTTAGCTTATGTTATCTGATTGATTTTCTATATCTCGCGATTTCTATCTCATATCAGGTGAGACGAAATATCATTGACCAATCGGATAGTAGAGAAAGAGACGGAGATCCACAGCATCTCTTTCTCGTCGGCATCGAGAGGAAGAGGTTCAGTCAAGGCCGGTGTCCACGGTGCTAGAACTTGGTTCAAGTGTAGTTGTTCAAGCTATTCCATAAAAGCTGCAAGTTGATTGGCTACCCTTTATGTTATAACATTTGCTTGTCTCTAGACAGTCTAGACTATCTCTGCCATCAGCAGTTGTACTTTGCCTCTTACACTTGAATTACAACTTGGACCAAGTTCTAGTTTTGTTCTAGCATCGTGAACACAGGCCTTCACTCCAGTATGTTACAGAGCTCACTCGCCGCGTAAATACGGCGCGCGCCGGCCGCGTCGAAAACGAAAGTCGCCGAACGTGAATCGCCGGCCGGGAATCTGGAACACGCGCGGATGGACGCGGCGGCGGTGGTGGCGGCGGCGGCGGCAGCGGCGCTGATAATAGCCGCGGCGAGCGGGGAATATGCACGGAATCGCTCGGACGTCTCGACGGAAACGAGTTTATAATAAGAGCCCGTCACGTGTGCGCTAATGAATTTCAAATGTAAATGACATCGAGGGCCCGGAAAAGTGGCCGCTTCCACGATGGATTCCGCGCCGACCGCGCATAAATCTGCATTCCGAAGACCACGTTTTCTGCGCGTAATAATTTTTACGCTCGCGCTATTTTACGCGCTCCTTCGCGGGCGGTTCCTCCTCTGAGATCATCGCGAGTTGTTGCGAAAGGTGTTGCGGCAGGTCCGTTCTGTAAACTGCTCCCGCGCGTTCCTGCTGTTCCCTAAAAATCCACTCGTTAAGTCTCCCGATTGGCCACAAGCCGCTTTTAGAGGCGTTTTTATCGGTAAAAAGAGGACTGTATACAATGTATTCTCTGGACCGTATTCCGAATCCTCTTTTATCGACGAAAACGCCTCTAAAAGCGGCTTGTAGCCAATCAGAAGATTCATTAGCCACTTTTAGAGGCGCTTTTACTGGTAAAAGGGGGTTCGGGCCTTTGCGTTTAGAAGCATTCAATTTTATAGCCAATAAACACGTTCAAAAAATGTGTGCAAGCCGCACTGAGAGACCCGTTTTCTTGAATGAAACAAGTTGACTCAACTGAATTGCGCAGAACCCTTTTATAATATTCAACCGAACGATTTAGTTGGCGCAACAAACACAATTATTTAACACGTGATGGGATGGACGAATTTGTTTCATTCAACAAAATGGGCCGATAAATGTTTTAAGCGTATCGATTTGCTCGAGGGAGAAACCGCCGAGGGCATTGTGGTGTACAGGTTTGCGACATTACTACATCGGAATCCATCAGTTTGGGCGCATCAGGCCTTGCTGGGACACTATAAAGATAAAACAAGATAATAAGACAAAGTAATGCCTGGTGGGCATTGGTGTACAAGATTTTGGTCAGCGGTTTCCCCCTCGAATTTGCTTCTACAAAACAGAATGCTTTTAGACGCAGAGAGCACATTGTAGATTAGGCTTAAGCCTGATCTGTGTGCTCTTTGCGATTAGAAACATTCGACATTTCGTACGAGGGCACGAAGTACGCTTGAAAGATTTGTCAACAAAGTACGATTGCACGAGGTGCAATTTAAAAAACTTGCACGAATCTTTCGGGCGAATTTATTGGCAGCAAAGTAGGACGTTTCCAGACGCAAAGGGCACGCCGCAGATCAGGATACACCTGTGTCACGGAAATGCTCGGAATTGTTCCCTAGATTTCTATTGTTTTCCGGGGGAAACGGAACAATTCCGATCGGAATCCATTCCGCGCATTTCCATGACAGGGCGCCCAGGCTTTATCTCGCGGTCACGAGACACGCGACGTCCGTTCTTTTCAATCCTCGCTCTCGTCCTCTCTCCGTTCCGTTTCGATCGCCGAGAAGGCGCCGTAAACGAGTAACGGCGAGGAGAGAGACAAGTTTATTACAAAAAAAAACGTCGGCGAGACTGGCGCGACATAGGTACACACCTCTCCGAATCACGTGCGCGGTCTCTCGACGATCGAGATGCAAAAGCGAGATACGTGGCTGGGAACGGTGGCACGCGAGAGGTGTCGGACGAGAAGATCGGACTCGCGTCTCGTACGCGGTCGACGGTGAATGTCAAAGGGAATTACCGCGGGAGCGGAGAACGCGTAGTTAACCGCAGCATATTGCGCCGCCGCCGCCGCCGCTCTCTGGAACGCGGACCTCGGGCCTCTCCGTCGCCGATCGAAGGGGAAGGAAGATACGGATGCGGCGCGTCGCCGAGACGTCCGCTCGAGCGCGAGTGGACGTGGAAAGACGGGGCGGAACGGAGGAAGGAAAGAAAGGAAGAAAAAAACACACACAAGCTGGACGGCCGAGGGGAAACGTCAAACGACGGAGGAGGCGAGCTCCGACGAGACGATGGCATCAGGAAGACGTAAGGGTGGGGGAGGGGGAGGGAAAAAGGAAAAGAGGAAGGAGGTGGGTGACGGGCGGCGAGACTCACGTTCTGCAGGAAGGGCCAGATGCCGTCGATGCTGTCCGTGGCTGTGAACAGGCTGTGAAACGGCTCGTCGCTCGACATCGTGCGTGCTGCGACGTGTTGCGGCGACGGTGACGGTGACGGCGACGACTGGCGGCAGCGGGCGCCGGGAGAGCGGGCGGAGGCAGAGCGGAGGGCGAGCGGCGCATCCGCGCGACGAGAGCGGTAGATCCGGACGCACTACGCACTGTGTTACCGCGGCCACCGGCGGAGCAACGCGACTCGCGACTGACTGACTGACTGACTGACTGTCTGGCTCGCTGAATGACACTGATTGACCGGAGCGCGCCGGACCGGACCGAACCGGGCCGATACGAACGAGACGGGATCGCCTGCGCGCGCGGAGCAAAGTTGGCGACGGATCGCGCGGTGCGATAACGCCGGTCGATGCGAGCGACCGACCGCTCGAGTGCAGCCAGGGGCCGGAAGGGGGAGAGACGGGTTGTAAAGGCAGGTTTCCAACTGTTCGGTTGATCGGACAGGTCTGTTCTTTGCAGGATTGGGGGAAGTAACTAAAGCCCGCTGCAGACGATGCTATTTTTCCTGCTGGATTGCTTGCGATTTAGTAAATTACTATCATTGCACCACTCAGCATTCAGAATTCCTAGTAATTTACTAAATTGCAAGCAATCCAGCA